TATCGTTTGGTAGCTCGATAAATGGGCTATTGTATGACACACGCTCGATAAATGGGCTATTGTATGACACACTTCCTGTCTGATTCCTGAAAGCCGGTTCAGTGCTGCTTGCGGGTCTAGTTAGGCTTTCAGACTTGTCTGAAAGACTATTGTTTTTACTAAAATTATTATTATTATTATTATTTTCCGCTGCAGCCTATTTCTCCATGATCGGAAACAGATATCGATCTGGAACCAAATTTTCTCTTGGGAAACCATGTGGTGGCTACTCCTTAAAACAATTTTGAAACTTCTGCGCAGACCGGAAGTGGCCGAATTTCGTGCGGTGCATAAAAATTAAAAAACGGCCGTAGCTTCGTCAATTCTGTACCTATTTTCATACAAATGACATTTTCAGAAACCCTGAGTCTTTTTTCGGACGATGGCAGTTGAAAATTTCGAAATTTCGAAACTTCGTCGTTGACTTCTAGAGTTCGAAAAATGAAAATTTTTGTTTAAAACACAATTTTTGTAATTTTTCAAAATTTTCAAATTTGACCTACATTTTTGGATACCTGAAAACCATCCGATACCAGAAATATAAGTTTCATTCCGAGTTATCGCCCTTTAATTTTCGATTTTTTTCGAATTTTCTGCCCATTTCCCAACCCTTATATTTTTGTCCAAAAAGAGCCTCAATCTTGGAAAAAAGTTGAAAAATCCTTACATTACTGAAAATGATCTTCTAATTTTCTTTCTTTGGAAAACAGCTGAATGAATTATTCTGAAATTTCTTGTACAGAAGGTAAGGTAACCAAACAACTTGTTAAAGCTATCCCGACAATGATCCATAAAACGGAAGTAGTCGAAAAAATTTCGGATATTTTGAGAAAAAAAACAACGTAAAAATAAAAACCATATAATTAGCAGTTGTTTTAATTGTATATTTATAGCTCATGCTATGATCTTTCACTGACCTACTTACAGCAAAAGCATACAAGCTGTTAATTGGCTCTCTTTACCAGTGTTTAGCTGTATCGGAGTTACATTGAGGGAAGGTTTGCAATGTTAGAACCGAAATATGTAATGACATTTAAGCTGAGGTGTTCCACGAACTAGATCAAATAAAAAAATCGGTTGCTGAAGAAAAAGCAAAAGTTCAAACTCTAATTAGAATATGATGTCAAGGAGTCAATCAAACTTGGAAATATTAACATTAGGTCTCAAAGAAAACGAGGGAGAGGATTTAAAACCAGAAATTAAACGATTAGGGCATGAATTAGCTGATATTCAATTGGAGGATACACAAATTGTTGCCATACATAGGCTGCCATCTAAAAACTCCTACAGCCCGACGCTAAAATTGGCTTGATGAGGAAACTTCAGAGTTTTAAGGAGAAGGGAGTACTACAGTTGTGCGTAATGCACAACTGATAAATAGGCTAAAGAACCACAGCTACCATATATATAGAGAGAGAGAGAAATATAACACGTCAGTTAAAAGCCTGATTAAATAAATGTGTTTTAAGTTGTTTTTTAAAAGAATATAGAGATTACAACATCTTAAACTAAATCGTAGATTATTCCATAAAACAGGTGCTTGATAACTAAAAGAGCGCCAGGTGTATAAAGTTCTAAAAGATCTAAGAGGTAAACAGGATCTAAATTATTTAAACATTTAAAAGTAAGTAATAAAATCTTAAAATCAATTCGATATTTAACAGGAGTTATGTGGTCACATTTCTTAGTTAAAGTAACACGTCTATCAACCGTATTCTGTATTTTTTGTAATTTATCTATAAGCTTTAAGGGTAAACCAACTAAAAGTGAATTAAAGTTATCTATATTTCTGATATTAAAATAGCACAATTTATAAATAGTATTTACTTGAGCCTCCATAAGCATAAAACTATCAAAGATTGCGCCAATATTACGAGCAGAATAAGATGAAAATATATCACAATTACCAATTACAACAGGGGGGGTATCATGTGCAGATTTACTTAATTGATGCCTTGAGCCTAATAACAAATATTCGGTTTTATCATCATTCAATTTTAGAAAGTTCTTTGACACCCATTTTCTAATTTCACTAATACAGTTCTCAAGTTGCAATTTTGATAAATTAAAAGAAGATATTTCGGACAATATCGCCTAATGGTGACGTATAGAGGGTAAATAAAATCGGACCAAGAACAGAACCTTGGGGAACCCCAGATGACAAAACAGATTCAGGCGACGATTTGGAATTAACTAAAATACACTGTTTTCTACCCACAAGATAGCTTTCTAAAAGATTTAATGCAGAGCCACAAATACCGAATTTAAATTGAAGTCTACGTAGAAGAATGGAAGTGTCCACCGTGTCGAAAGCAGCAGATAAACCTAATCAAATTAAAAATGTACATTTTCTATTATCAATTTCCATTAGAATATCATTTGATACCCGGGTTAAAGCTGTTTCGGTACTGTGAAATTGTTTATAAGCACTTTGAAATGGTTCATACAAACAGTTATCATCTAGATGGGCCTTTATCTGAGAATCAATACATTTCTCCAATATTTTAGAAATAAAACTTAAGTAAGAGACAGGCCTGTAATTTTTAAAAACATTAGTATCCTGTGTAGACTTTTTAATTAAAGGGGTAACATAAGCTTGTTTGAAAACGTTGGGAATAGTAGAGGATGATATACAAGTATTAATAATATTGGTAAAAACTGGAATAACTTCGTCTAGACAGTCCTTAAGAACAGAAGTCAGAACAGGATCTAATGAACAAGATTTAGGAGCAGACGATTTAATTAGCTTTAAAACACAAGATTCACTAACCAAGTTAAAATTTTCTAAATAAACAGAATTTTCTAACTTATCAAAATCATGAGCGTTAAAGTCAATAGTTTTATTTAAATCATCAAGTTCAGTTCGTATTTTCTGTATTTTTATTTGAAAGAAATCAGAGAATAAATTTGCAAGTTCAGTGTCATTATCATTGTCCGGGAGAATAGTACGCTCAGCATTATGGTCCAAAAGGGAATTCACAACTTTATACAGGTCTTTTTGTCTGTTTTCGCCATTTTCTATTTTATCAGAATAAAATTTAATTTCTGCGTCTTCAATTAATTTATTCACATTGTTTTTTAAAGATTTATAAATCTGTTTTTTCAACGGTCTCTAATACTGTCACGTAACCTCCCCCATCACCAATGCACATTACACACAACCTTCTCCGGGACACACCAAAACGAAACACCCAACAAGAGAAAATTATCCCCTGGAGAAGGCACTTGCATTAACACTCCCTCGAAGAGTGCAACTAGATCAACCAGTTCACCCCGGGGTGTGTCTGGCTCACCTACTTCCTCGGGATCTTAATCGCCACTGAACGCGCTTGTCGACTGTCTGTCCCCGAGATCGCCCATCATTCCTAACCCTAGAATCACCACCAGATCTTCCACCAGATGTAGGCGATCACTCAAAATATCCCTAAAGAGACCTCACAGCTACAAAGGTAAAGACGAGTAGGATTTATGGTACCTACCACCCGTCATGGCAAAGACCCTGGTTATTGGATCCTCTAACCTTGCTAGGATTTCCCAACAACCAAGCCCTTCGCCACACAGATCCCCACTTCTTCCCGACTCCGACAAGAAAATCCGTCGCCTACCAAAACGTCACCAGCTACAACCAATTGATCTCCACTGCACCTTGACCAAACGCCACCACATTACCAACCTTCAAGGGCAAAATAGAACTGAAAGGTAACGACACCATCCACTGGAGCCCAGACACGGCCAGAGAGATCATCAACTGATGGGTGAGGAATTTAAACTAGGATTAGGGGAAAGGAATGAGAAACCGTCTTTAGGACAGACAGTTGTCAATTTGAGCGACAGACTTCTCGCCCCCCCCCCCCCCCCCCCCCAGAAATGAACATTCTTGATAAAGGTCTTAAATTCATCCCAACCCTCACAATAACATCCATAGACCCCGTCACCCAGGCAACCGATCGCTTCCAAAGACCACTTTAGTTGACTTATTTTTTTAGGAACAAACCCGGCAGAGGTAAGAAATTATTCACAGAAAAATCCACATGGAAACCACCTAAAAAGTCATTATCACCAGCCATTCTGAAAACTTTCGACGAAATGAACACAGAAATATCATCCCTTCAACCACTGTCACAAAAACTAAATCTCAACGGAGCAACTAAAACAGCATTAAACACGCCCAAAAAAGACAAAAACATAATAATTAAGAAAAGCGACAAAGGTTCGTGTTGTGTTATAATGAATCGCGCAGACTATGTCTCTGAGGCAGAAAAACAATTAAATAATCCTAAACATTACACTAAATTAGACCAACCCATCTTTAAGGAGTAATATCTAAAATTATTACAAATATCATAATTCACAGTTGTTCATTATTAATTCATTTCAAATTTTTAACCATTACAGCAGCAATTTATTAGTAGTATTGGAGGTATTTATGAATACAACTGACCACAGGTTTTATAAAGGGGCATGCCTGTTATTTATCATGTAACGTCCAGGGTCTGAACAACAAATATGTCCCAGGCGGGGCTATTAGATAGAAAATATATTTTTGATTCTAAATTTCTCAGTGGAATTTATTTTAGCATGCATGCAATAAATATATAAAATGTGTACTGATAGCCTTTACAAAATATGAATGGTATTTTTTCATGGCATTACAAAAACAAATAATTAGTTCATTATTTATTATAATAAAGAAATAACGTCAATAATATATACTGGAAAACACCGGAATACACCGAAAAACACCGGAAAATACTATGTTAAACTGAATACTGGAAAAACACTAAATACCGGAAAATACACTAAATACCGGAAAATACACTAAATAGGTAACCCGGAGACTGGCACCCTAAATAGGTAACCCGGAGTCTGGTCCTCTGTGTGCCTGGGTTAAGTTTAAGAATTTGGGGGAGAGGTTAAGTCTCCACATAAGCACTGACCTAGGATGATGAAAAATTAGTTCGTGATATTTCCTAGTTTTATTAAAATACATACAATACATTAGATTTATATACAAAGGCGATTTCACTGTTTATTGGTGTTGGTGGCGCTGATGGTCTTCCTTGGGTGGTGCTTCTGGTATTCTGGTATTATTGTTTCTGAAGAAAAAAGAAAATAAATTTGAGGCTCTCGGGAGAGAGCCACATTAGTGTGTTTCCTACTACGGATTGGATTTTCTAAAAAATCGTGTTTGTTCCACATCACCGGGTTACGGCTAGGGATTCTTATATCTAATTGATTTTAATTACTAACGGTTAGGCATAGGATTTGATATATGGTTTGTTTTGGGTCAGGGTGGAGACTGGTCTTATTTAATCTAATTTACTGTGCACTAGGATGTCGTTCAGATTTTTATTTTTAGAATATGCAATTATAAGTTTCTGTGTGAATATTTTCGGGTGATTTTCTTGGAGATCAGTATAGTGTTTTCTGATGATTTTGGACGCACTTGCTGCTGTTGCGCTAAATGGAACTACAAAAGGAGCTATTGCGCAAGCCGTATGAATATTCAAACCTAGGGGGGCTGTTGTTTTCAATTTGTCAATCCACAATTTTTCTCTTGTTAGCCTAAACGTTTTAATTTCTTCTGAAGTTTCAAAGTCGCTCTTGGTCTTTTCTATTGGCGTGACAATGAGATCAGAAATGTCATGATTTGGTTGGTTGAAATGAATTGAGACAGGTTTGTCTTTTTTGGTGACTATGTCAGACCGGTGACCGTTAATTCTTTCCCTAAGTGCATTTTGAGTCTCCCCTACGTATTGCTTGTCACATTTTCTGCATGAGATTAGATAAATTATGTTTGAACTACTGCATGAAAGTTGGTCTAATATTGGGAATTTTGTGCCAGATGTTTTGTTATGGAAATGGTCGGATATGTTTAAGATTTTGCATGTTTGACATCTTGGATGGCCACAAATTTTGGTTTTATGTGCTGATTGTATATTATTTGTTTCTTTGGCGGCAATCTCAGCTAGAGTGTTGTTTTTTATACGCCGTAGATAGCGTTTGGAGTATCCCCTTTCCCTTAGTTTGCTAAATACCAATGTACATGCTGACTCAAAGTCAGTCTTCTGAGTACATATCCTATGAAAACGGAGAATCTGAGATTTTATGATGCCAGAGAATGTATGTTTGGGGTGAAAGGAGCTTTTGAACAATAATTGATGTGTGTCGGTTTCTTTGAAAAATACTTTAGTTTCCAATTGGCCTGTGATTTTGGTGTTGTTACCAAAGGAAATCTATGCTGTTATGGCTTACATTTGCGGTTAATTTGACAGATGGATGATGATTGTTCAGAATGTTGAAAAACGTCCAAAATTCGTCTAGTGTGTAGGTCCAGACTATGAAAACGTCATCTAAAAACCGCCCATAGAAATCTGGTTTTAATGGACAGAGTGGCAGAACTTCCCTTTCCCACTCCGCCATGAAGAGATTTGCATAACTCGGGGCAAATCGTTTTCCCATCGCAGTTCCGGAAGACTGAAGGTATACTTGGTCGTTAAAAGCGAAGTCATTCCTCAGACAAATGTCGAGTAGTTTGAGGATTTCTTCGTCCGGCCTGGATGCTTGCGGGTTCCTAAGAAATGCTTTCCTAACTGCTTTAATAACTGTGTTATTATCAATGTTCGTGTACATGCTTTGTACGTCGATGGATATTAAAACGGTGTGTTCGGGGACTCTTAACTGTTTGATTTTCTGAATGAAATCGTTAGTGTCTTTAAGGTAGGATGGGTGTTGGCATGCTAGGGGTAATAAGAAATGGTCTATATATTGTGATACGTTGTATGATTCGCTGCCACAGTCTGATATTATTGGGCGTCCCTTGGGTATTTTATTAGGTATAAACCATTCTGTTTCTGGATTTTTATGTATTTTTGGTAGTGTATAGAGATGTCTTTGTCGGCAGTCAGATTTAGCAGATAGATAATCATATTGTTTTGCTGTTATGTATTCCTTATCCTGCAATTCATATAATATGTTGTTTATTAAATTTGCGGTGTCCTTAAAGATGGGTTGGTCTAATTTAGTGTAATGTATAGGATTACTTAATTGTTTTTCTGCCTCTGAGATATAGTCTGCGCGATTCATTATGACACAACACGAGCCTTTGTCGCTTTTCTTAATTATTATGTTTTTGTCCTTTTTAAGGGTGTTTAATGCCGTTTTAGTTGCTCGGTTGAGATTTGGTTTTTGTGACTGTGGTTGAATGGATGATATTTCTATATTCATTTCGTCGAAAGTTTTTAGGATGGCTGGTGATAATGACTTTTTAGGTGGTTTCCATGTGGATTTTGCTGTGAATAATTTTTTACCTCTGCCGGATTTGTTCCTAAAAAAAATAAGTCAACGAAAGTGTTCTTTGGAAGCGATCGGTTGCCTGGGTGATGGGGTCTATGGATGTTATTGTGGGGGTTGGGATGAATTTAAGGCCTTTATCAAGAATGTTCATTTCTAGGGGGTTGAGAAGTCTGTCGCTCAAATTGACAACTGTCTGTCCTAAAGACGGCTTCTCATTCCTTTTCCCTAATCCTAGTTTAAATTCCTCATCCAGCAGTTGATGATCTCTCTGGCGGTGTCTGGGCTCCAGTGGATTGCGTCGTTACCTTTCAGTTCTATTTTGCCCTTGAAGGTTGGTAATGTGGTGGCGTTTGGTGAAGGTGCAGTGGAGATCAGTTGGTTGTAGCTGGTGATGTTTTGGTAGGCGATCGGATTTTCTTGTCGGAGTCGGGAAGAAGTGGGGATCTGTGTGGCGAAGAGCTTGGTTGTTGGGAAAGCTGCTCTGGTCACCTTGAGTAGATCTAGCATCTACTCGTGTATCCTTGGTCCACTTTCCTCCCTGTTGTTGAGCCCGACGTGTATCACTAATTCCTCTGGTTCAGGACCCATGTAGTTCTGGAGGATCTGTTTGATGTGGCTGATCTTGGTGTCACAGGATGGACGAGGCGTGACCGTTTTGGGGAATAAAGAGACTAAATACAAAAGAATTCATTTTACATAACTCAAAATACAATATAACAATGAATAATTTTTGTAAGAGCGCGCACTAGATAAATTATGAAGCTAGGAAAAGGTCCATCCGTCAGCAGCACCATATATCGACACCATTTAGCAAATACGATACCATTGTTCAGCGACCCCTCAGACGATACGATTCCCATAACAAAATTGTCCACCCATTTTCAAGACCTTACATCGACGATACCATTTATCGGCGACTAATCATAGATGATACCATTCACAGAACAGTCCACCCATCGGCAAGACCATACATCGACGATTAGACATATAAGATCGATTTAGATATATACTGAGCGCCATGGAAAACTTAGTTTTTCGTATAACAAAATGATCCTGTAAACATATCTTATTTATTTTGCTTCTTATTGTGAACAATATTCAAATGGAAACACATCAATAACAACACATTTGTACACTTATGGATGTTTAATCTGTAATCAACGGTACAACGTCAGAGGGGTCAAAACCAAAAGTACGACACAGATATCAGTAGCGCGTGTGTCCTCCACGGGCTCTTACGCACGCTGTGCAGCGACGTCGTATGTAATTTACCAATGTTTGAAAGAAGGCCTGGGGCAAATTGTTCCATTCTTGGCATCTGGGGTCTCCGATACAGACGGCGTCCAATCTCATCCCAGACATGTTCTATCGGTGCCATGTCCGGAGACATGACTGGCCAGTCCAAGACCTTGATGTTGTTAGCAGCCAGGTAGTCCATACTAAAACGGGCGGTATGCGGACGTGCGCTCGAAACATCGGAACAACAATTGGTTGCAAGACATCATCACGGTAGGCTACAGCATTAACGCGACCCCTGCAAATGTGTAGGGCGGTCCGGTGATGAAATGTGAAGCCTCCCCACACCATTACACTTCCCCCACCCCATCGATTCGTTTCGAAGACGCAGCAGTCTGCAAGACGTTCCCCAAGACGTCTCCACACACGTTGACGGCCATCAGCGTGATAAAGATGAAAGCAACTCTCATCACTGAAGAGCACACTTTGCCAGTCTACTCTTCTCCATGTCTGGTGTCCTTCAGCCCATATCAAACGCCGCTGACGGTGATGATCCCTGAGGATAGCTCCAACATAAGGTCGTCGTGCACGGAGTCCTACTTCTCTTAGACGACGTCTTACGGTGTTGGCACTTACTGGTCCTTGTCTTCCGACGACTGGTGCACCTGTTTGAGTCGCTGAGCGGAATTTGTCACGCAGATGAGTGACCCGGGTGTGGCGGTCTTGAGCCTGGGTTGTAACGCGTTGTGGACCAGGACGTTGACGGTCACGTGTTAATCCAGTAACTCGAACACTTTCCACCAACCTTACAATAGTGGACTGATGACAATTGAAGTGTCTGGCAATAGCACGTGTAGACATGCCAGCCCTGGACATTCCCATGGCTTCATTCTGTTGATTTTCAGTAAGTCTCGGCAACTCTAGCTCGATTCCTTCACACGTCCAACAACAAATTACGACAGATTGACCTTTCACAGTTCATGTACTGCACATTAAGTTGAAAACATGCTTTTAAAGGGCTCACACACAATGCTGCACGTGAATATTGGGTTTTTCATGTGCATCTCGTGCACACGGGCCGATATTTTTTGCGTTTGGGAGCATTGTGTGAAACAATAGTTCATAGTATTGCATAATATTATACATACAAAACCACCTAGTAATAAAATATTTAGGAAAAAAAAGTGATGCGTTTTCCATGGCGCTCAGTAGCTGGTGATCAGTTCTACAACAAACTCAACCCCATAAAGATACCGCGTGAATTTCTGAATTGACCAAACAATTGCAAGGCACTCTTTCTCGATAGTTAGATATCGAGTTTCACTATCCTTTAGTTTACGACTGGCATAAGCAGCTGACATTCTCACTTCGTTTTCAACTTGAAGCAGAATCGCTCCAATGCCATTATCAGAAGCATCTGTCTGCAGAACAATGACTTCCCTCAAATCCGGCAACTTTAAAACTGGCCCACTTACTAGCGATCGCTTCAAGAATTGGAAGGCACTTTCCTGTGGAAAATCCCACGTAAGTACGTTAGGCCTACCTTTCTTCGTTAAGTCTGAGAGAGGAACAGCGATCGAGGAAAAGTTTGGAATGAATCTCCTATAAAAACCCACGAGCCCTAAAAATGACCTTACCTGTTTCTTTGTACGAGGCCGCTCAGCTTCCTCTATAACTTTTGGCTTATCCAATATTGGTTCAATGCGGCCTAACCCAACCTTAAATCCCAAACACTCAATCCGATCAAATCCAAGGAAGCACTTGGATGGCTTGACCGTTAAGTTTGACGAACGCAGACGACAAAACAACGAATCCAGAATGTTGATATGTTCAACCCACGTTCCTGAATAAACCGTAATATCATCTATGAAATTATTCACATTTTCTAATCCCAAAAGCAATTTTCGCATCAAACGATTAAAAGTAGCTGGAGCATTAACCAAACCAAATGGCATGACCTTGAACTGAAACAACCCGCGTGGGGTTTTATAAAGCCGTTAGAGGTTTTGAAGTTTCCGCCATGGGAACCTGCCAATACCCTTTCGATAAATCAAGTTGCGACAAATATCGGCACCCACGATCCGCCATTCTAGCAAACATATCTTCTGGGTTAGGGTTCAGGATCAAAGATCGTTATACGATTTAACGCACGAAAATCAATACAGAAACGATTCGTTTGATCTTTCTTTTTAACAATTACTACTGGAGACGAGTAATTACTATTTGAAGGCTCAATTATGTTCATCTCTAGCATTTTATCGAGTTCATCATCAATAACCCGGGTTAATGCAAAATGAATCGGGTACGGTTTCAAAGGAACGGTTACCTCCGTGATGGTTTTAATTTCATGCTCTAATAAATTAGTGTGCCCAGGTAATCCGTTAAAACTTCCTGGTAACAGCTAAACTTTCTCGTTGCTCTATATTCAATTTATCACAAATATGCACTTTATCAATACCTTATTTACCAGTACCTGGTAAATGGATTGGTTCCGGATCCATTCCGTCATCTTCTACGTCCACCACATCCGCATTCACTTTGTCCACATGGTCATCTTCACGTGGCCTTTCCAAATACAGCTTTAGAAGATTACCATGGAATGTCTTAATCTTACCATGTGCAGACAGTCTATAATCACAATCATTTAATTTTTCTACTACTGAAAAGGGACCCCTCCACTGAAGTAATAATTTGTTTGACTTGGTTGGAAGTAAAACAAGAGCTTTATCATCAACCTCAAAAACTCTACGCTTAGCACGTTTATCGAAATAATACTTTTGTTTTTTGGCACATGCATTTAAATTTTCTCTAGCCATTTCCCCTACCGTCCCCAGCCGCTCTCGTAAATCTAAAACGTACTGGTAAGTCGTTTTGACTTCCGGGTCATCAGTGTTCTTAGTCCATAACTCCCGCAAAATCATTGGACGACGAACCGGCCAACCGTAAACCAACTCAAAGGGCGAATAACCCAAACTC